CGTTTTCCTTTGTAATCCTACGTATGTAATTTTTAGGCATTTCAAAGCATCCGTGTCCACAGGCATCACCAGACTGACTGCCCAAGGGATCTGGGTCACAAAAGGTTAAAAACTCCTGCTGTGGGGGTGGGGCAGAGAGCGGGGAAAGGGGTGCTGCTTCCTCCCCATCATGCCTCTCATACTTTCTGCCTCTGATCTCAGGCACGTTTCTTAGCCTTCCTGTGCCTCAGGTTCCCCATCGGTAAAAAGAGGGGGTTGGGCTGGATGGCTGCTGCGGTCCCTTTGAGCTGTATGTCTGTGGTCCAAGGAGTCCAATGTGTCTCTGATCTTTGTTCATCTCGGCCCAGGACCCCATAATCAGGCCCTCTCAGACTTGCCGTTGGTGGGTTCAGACTTCACAGATGAGATTTCCGCCAAGTCGCCTCCTCTGCTATAAGCATTTCTGGGTCCCTCGTCCTCCAGGGAATTGGGGGGCCCAGACCTTGGAGAGCCTGGCTTTGGAGCCAGGGCGGCTGAGGCTTCCAAGTTGGAGTAGAAAGCTAAGGGCCAAGTTGACCAAAGAACGAGTGGCACTGACCATTGAGCTAAATGGCTGGCCAAGATGATGACGGAGACAGGAGGACAGAGGTGCAGGATGAACGACGCCCAGGGTTGGGATGACTTTTAAAAGAACGTCTCCTTCACGAGAAGGGAGAATGAGTTCTAGCCCTGCCCTGGACCCATCTTGGCTGTGGCACCCTGGGCCAGGCCCTGCTCCTCTCTGGGCACCAACCTCAATAGAAACAGGGCCACTGGTCCCTACAGAAGGATCCTGCATTTTAAAATGTGATGTTATCTCTGTTCTGCACTTTTATTTATACTGTTCAACCTTTCCCACTTATGTTTTAAGCTGGTTTGTGATGCCTTGGAGCACTGACCCCCTGCTCTAGGTTATCCCCAGCAAAGTTGCTGATCTCCAAGGAGTTTCCTCACCACCCCTGTGCCTTAGTTCCTTCTGGTCCCCAAACTCCCCTTTCCTCCGTATCCATTTTTAAAGAGCTCCTGGGGCTTTGACCCCTTATTCATCAATAACTCCAGATCTGGTACCTCATCAGTATGGAGACCCCTTCTACCAGCCTCGACGACTCGTCAATCAAGCATCAAGCAGTTATTAAGTGCCTACTATTCTCCAGGAACTGCGCTGGGTGTGGGGGATCCAAGTAGCTATGTGGAACAGTGGAAAGAGTGCTGGGACTGGGGACATGAATTCAAATCCCATCTCAGATACTTAGTAGCCCAAACCCCTCACTTTACAGATGAGGAAACTGAGTCCCAGAAAAGTAGAGTGACTTACCTGTGGTCACACAGCCAGGATTTGAACCCAGGTTCCTTTTGGTCTTCAAAAGTATCTCTGGATGCCCAGTCCTCTCCCTGCATCCCACCAGATGATAAGCATCTGTGAAATCAGTGAGACTGGCCCTTGGAACTGACATACAGTCCATCACTGGGCCCATACTCAAAGTCTGGCAATCTGCTGGGATGGCCTTTGAGAACCCAGGGTCATCTTCATGTCAGGATGAGCCATCAGAGGAGAACCTTAGTGGAAGATGAGATGGAAGGATAAGTTCATCATCATCATCACCACTGTCACCTTCATCATCACCATCCATCATCACCATCATCAACATTACCACCATTGTCACCGTCATTATCACCATCATCTTCACCATCACCATCCTCACCATCATCATCACCATCATCACCATTACCACCATTATCACCATCATTGTCACCATTATCACCATCATCCTCACCACCATCATTGTCACCATCACCATCATCATCCTCACCATCATCACCATTACCATCCTCACCATCACCATCTAAGCATGGATTCTCACTACACTCTCCCCAATAAGTGACCACCCAGGAGACCCCAAGAGAACAGAGACATTCCGAGGGCCATTCTGGCCCTGCTTTGAGCCCCCAGTCGAAGGCCACAGGATCCTGAGGGATCTTGGAGGACATCGACCCCAAACTTCCTCATTTTTCAGAAAAGAGAGGTTAAGTGATTTGCCCAGGGTCACACAGCAAGTCAGAGGTGGGTTTCAAACGCAGGTCTTCCTGACTCCAGGCCCAGCACTCTATCCACTGCCCACAGAGTCTGGCACATTGTAAATGCTTAATAAATGTTTGCTCAATTGAACTGAACCACTTCCCAATGAAAAGCCACTATTTCCCAATTCATTTTGAGATTCTGGTGCCGATAATAGTTATAAGCCCAGTGTTCTCCCCCTACTGAAACACTCTGACAATTGATTATCAATTGGCATAGAGGATAGAGAGCTCACCTCCAAGTCAGGAAGGCCTGGATTCAAGTCTTGCTTCTGACTTGTGCGGCTGTGAGACTCCGGGCCAGTCACTGAACCTCTCTGGGCTTGAGGCCATTTTCTAAGACTGTAGGAAAGGTGCCACCCTGAATCGGTGGAGGGCATTTCTTCAATGAGAATTCCCTATCCCAATCAAGTCCCAAGTCCAGTGTGGACCCCTGTGTAAACATGATGCGTTTGGACAGCTTCCTGAGGGCAAAGACTGTGTCCTGGTTGTCGCTGCATCCTGAGGGCCTTGCAAGGTGCCTGGTCTACTCTTATTAAGTAGGCACTCAGTAAATGCCTGTTGAGTAGCCCATACACCGCTCTCCTAGGGGATTCTAAAGAGGAAGGAAAGACCGGCTGTGAATATACCTCGTCCTCCCCTCCTAGAGCATTTCTGTTGTGGAGATTTCAGAGTCCAGACTGGAGAAAAGATACACATTTCCTATCTCCCATCCTCTGAACCATGTGGCTGCCCGATGCTTATCTCTAAAGAGTTTAGTCAGACAAGGACAGGAACCTCTGAGTCATCGGGAGGAAGAAGGAAGGGAGTGGCCTTTGTGGGAGATGAAAGCATCTCATCTTTGATAACAACCGAGGACCTAAAAAAGAGGCCTGAAGAGAACATCCCCAAGAAATAAAACAGATCGACGGTGAGGAGGAGTTGGTCGCTGTCTCTCCTCAGCCACGCAGAGGGCAGCCTGGGTGTTCTGGGTATCCAGGTGGGCCTCACTCTGTGAGGGGCGTGGCCCTAAAAAGCCATGTCTAAGTCAATCCACAAGTGGCTAAAAGGAATGTTTTAAACATGGGAAGTTTTGTCTAGAAGGAATCCTACTATGAATTCTAGAATCACTGTGTACCATGAGAGAAAGCTTCCTTGTACTATCTGTTGTCTGTTTTTCAGTTGCATCTGACTCTTCATGACCCCACTTGGGGTTTTCTTGGCAGAGATACTGGAGTGGATTGCCATTTCCTTCTCCGGCTCATTTTACATATGGGGAAACTGAGGCAAATAGAGTGAAATGACTTGCCCAGGGTCACACAGCTAGTAAGTGTCTGAGGTTAGATTTGTACTCAGGTCTTCCCGACTCCAGGCTCAGTGTTCTATCCACAGTGCCACACACACAACTAGCCCTTGTACTACCTACGTCAAGTGTTTGTAGGATAAAGCTCCATGAGGGCAGGATGATCCTTATGTCCTTTGCTGGTGTTAGCACAGTGCCTAGCACCCAGCAGCCACTGGTAAATATTCAGCTAAGAACTGAATAGTGGCAAGAAAAGCACTTTGAGACCCAAAAGATCTATGGAAGTGTGAGCTATCGTCAAACTGACCCCTTTGCTATTCCTAACACACAATATGCCCTCTCCTATCTCCTGACCTTTGCCTTGGCTGTGGCCCATGCCAGGAATGCAGCGCCTCCTTATCTCCACTTTGTAGAATTCCTAGTTTTCTGCAAAGCTCAGCTCCTGTGAAGCCTTTTCTAATCTCCCCAGCTTCGAGTGCCTTCAATCCCCTCGCCTCCAGTTATATTGTGTCTAAGTTTCACGGTTTGTACTTCTATACTGAGTGCCTGGCACCTAGTAAGTGCTTAATCAATGCTTGCTGTTTGATTGGTTGGGTCATCCCCCTGCTCTTAGAAAGAACTGCAGGGGCAGCTAGGTGGCACAGTAGACAGAGCTCCAGCCTTGGAGTCAGGGAGTCCTGAGTTCAAATCCGGCCTCAGACACTTGATGCTTACCAGGTGTGTGACCCTGGGCATGTCACTTAACCCCAATTGCCTCACCAAAAAGAAGAAAGAAAGAACTGCAGACAAGCAGGTCCCATCTCACCTCAGCTCCAGCTTCCCTGCATAATTAACCTGAACAAGGGCTGCGTCTTGATTGCCCGGCCCCAGCCCGTTTTCCACAGACTTATGGCCTCATCACCCAGTTTCCTGGTTCCTGGCAGCCGGCCCTCTGAAGGAGCCTGTCCGCCTGCTGACACCGAGCTGCCCACACCGATGCCCCAGGGCAGGCCTGGCGCTTTGTTCTCTGTGGGATCCCCTGCAGCAGCCCCCAGCCACTTCCCTGGTGGCAGCGAGGCCGCTGAGGAAGATTTCAGTGGACTCACTGCTGTCAATCAGCCAGCAGACACTGATGGAGCCCTTCCTACACGCTCATGGGCGAGGGGATTCTGTGTAAGCCAGGGGACAAGTGAACACCTAAGTAAATGTTGCTGTTCAGTCATTTTAGTCACATCCAATTCTTCACGACCCCATTTGGGATTTTCTGGAGTGGTTTGCCATTTCCTTCTCTGGCTCATTTTACAGATGAGGAAACTGAGGCAAACAGGGTTAAGTGACTCACCCAGGATCACATAGCTAGTATCTGAGGCCAGATTTGCACTCAGGTCTTCCTAACTCCAGGCCCAGCGCTCCATCCACTGTGCCAACGAGCTACCCATCTACACAAATACTGTATAACTATAAAGTGAATAAATACAAATATGTCCAAAGGAGTTAAATATACAGTAGTTCAGGAGGGCACTGAGATAATATGTGAGCGCTCGTGAGTAACTCTGGGATTGCAAGCAAACTGCACCTGGCTTTTGGCAGAAGATGCAGATTGACCATCCACCGGGCTAACTGACCTTTCATTTCTCTATTTCAGGTCAATGCAAAAAAAGGACAGAGGTTTGACATGGAGTTTACCATAGAGAGCTACAAGCCAGAGGTAGGTTGGGTCCCCAGGGATGGGTGGCGTTGAGGAGGAAACCGCAGCAGAGGGGTCATTGAAAGTCCTTTGACAACAGGAAAGCATGCGTGCGTGTATGTACAGGAGAGGAGCATGCCTCCGAGGCAGGAGGTCCTGGGCTCAGCTGCTGAGCCTGACGCGCACTTCAGTGTGTGACGAGGTAATCACTCCACCTCGCGGTGAAACTGAGGCCAGTGAGGCACACACGCAGATTCGAACTCGGGTCCTCTGACCCTCCTTCCCTTCCTTCCACCACTGCCTCCCGTTGTCAGGAAGCAGCCTTTTCTTGGGGCATCTTGTTTTCCATGCTATTGAGCACATCTGGGGGCGGGAATAAGGGGGAACAAAGAGGGGAAGGGAAGTGTGGCGTAGCAGATAGCGTACTAGATCCGGACTCGAAGACCTGAGTTCCAATCCCTCCTCAGACACGTAGTAGCTTTATGGAGCGGGGTCAGTCGTTCATCCTCGAGGCGGGTGCACTAGATGCCCCCTGAGGACCCTGCCAGCCTGAGGTCTGTGGTCCTGCGACCTCTAAGGTCCATCCCATCAAACCCACAAAAAAGGGGCCACGAGCCCTCTTGGAGATCCCCGCCCGTGAACGTGTGGGCTGCACGCCTGGGCAAGCAGCGGGTGACTGATCCCCGCAGGGCAGACCTCGTCCCTTGGACAACCCAGAGGGTCCCACGCCATCGCCCCTCCCCTTGGCTGGACCTGACCCTCAGCGTCACCTCTCTGCGTGGTCTCTCACTCACCCAGACCAGGAGGCAGAGCCCACCAGGCCCCTGTCGGGATTCCCCTTCTGCCCGAGCCCAGACAGGCGGCTTCCCGGGCGGTGCGAATGGCTTACAAGGAGGAGGGTTTTGTTACAAGGAGGAGGGTTTGTTCGTGTCTGCGCTAGAACCTACCAAGTCGCTGATTCAAACAGCAGCAAAACCTAAGAAAGACCCTTCCCCATGTAGGCTGTGGGTGGGAACGAGGAGGCTGGCAGAAGGCAGGCACCAGGCGGACCGCAGGCGGACATCTGCCGTCCAGCCCGACCCATGATAGCTTGAAAAACCGGCCTCCCCCAGCCAGGAAGGCAGAGTGGGACCCAAAGGGTCAGTCAGCGCTCAGTCAGGGCTGTGGTGCAGATTTGTTCTCATCTCCTGCTCCGGCTTAGCAGAGGAGCCTCTGAAATTACGTTTGAAAACCCAGGGAACTCTCTCTCTCTCTCACTGGCTTCTGCTTGCCCCAGCCGCAGGAGGGCTTTGGGGCCCAACCACTCAATCAGAGCTGCAGAGACTGAGGGCCGAAGGAGAAGCCATTGAGGCCAGTCCCCTTATTTTACAGATGAAGAAACTGAGGCCCAAGGGGATTTTAAGTGATTCACCCTAGGCCACACAGGTAGTAAGCATCTCAGGTGGGCCTTCCTGAAACCAGATCTTCTTTTTAAGGCCATGTCTACCACTCTGCCCACCAAACTGTGCTGACTCCACCCCAGCTTGGCTGTGTGACCCTGGGCACATAACTTAACCTCTCTGTTCAACAGGCAACAGGTAAAGTTACTGAGCTGGGGCTAATCTGCTCTGGTAGAAGCAGTTTCTGTTGAGGGCTTCCTGCACCAATGAGATCTCTCTCTGTCTCCCTCTCTCCCTCTCTGTGCTTCTGTCTCTGTCTTTCTCGGACTCTGTCTCTCCTCCTTCCTCCCCATTTTCTCTTCCTCTCTCTGTCTCTCTGTGTCTCTCTCTCCCTCTCTCCTTCTCTCTCCTCTCTTTCTTCTCTCACTCTCTCCTCTCTCTCTCCTTCTCTCTCCTCTCTCTCCCTCCCTCTGTCTCTCTCTCTGTCTCTCTGTATCTCTCTCCTCTCTTCTCTGTCTCTCTCTGCCTCTATCTCTCTCCCCCTCTCCCTCCCTCTCTCTCTCTCTCCTCTCTCTCTCCTTCTCTCTCCTCTTCCTCTCTTTCTCTCTCTCTCTCTCTCTTTCCCTCCTCTCTCTGTTCCTCTGTCTCCCCCTCCTTCTCCCTCTCCCTCTGTCTGTCTGTTTCTGATTTTCCCCTAGTTAAATGAGGAGCGTCTGGGCACATGCTCTGCCCTGGTGATCTTCAAGAATCATAAGCCCAAACCCACAGTCAACATAACCTGCACACGACTCCTAGATGAGAAGGAAAGAGAGCAAAAGGATTATGTATTGTACAAGCAGATGAAGCAGCTGAAAAGACCCCCCGACGGGACCAGAATCCCAGGTATGGGCTAGTAATCCTCAAAACCTCAAAGGCATCCTCTTATTTCTATAGCCATTGAACCTAAGAGTGGAGCAGGGGAATGATCTAAAATACTTTTCTGCAGCTGCGGTTGCAGGCAGCCATAGAACACAGCCAAAATCTAGAGTGCCTGGTTGTTTGGACTAGACTTACAAGTCACCTGTGCTTGCCTGGTTGTACACCCATGACAACATGACCACTGGCCTCTTTCATGAGAAGGCCACCTATGTGGAAAGGGTTGGAAAAAGAAGTTATTGATTTCCAATCAATATCATTGCCTCCAAAATGTCTCAAGGAAAATATCCTCCTTAATTCATGCCAACTGCCATTTCAGAAGATGCTGGCTGCAAGTTTTGATTCAGATTACTCCTTAAGGAATCAGTTATTGTAATCCAACTAGAGGGATGTTAGTGGTATTCCTATCTGAATTATTTAGTATTATGAAATATAGTACTTAAAGGAATAGCCAAATGAAATGCTGGGTGAAATACAGAGTAAAACTAGAATAGTGGAGGATCTCAATATGCTCCTTTCAGACCTAGACAAATCTAACAAAAAAAAAAAATTAAAGGCCTAAATAAAATTTTAGAAAATTTAGATATAGTAGATTTCTGGTGATTACTACAAAGGAATAGAAAGGAGTGTGTGTGTGTGTGTGTGTGTGTGTGTGTGTGTCTGTGTGTCTGTGTCTATTCTAAGCTATGTGTAGTATCTTTTGACCATACAGTAAACCATAAAAACCTTACAAACAAATGCAAGGAAGCAGAAATACTAAATACAGCTTTTACTGACCATAATGCAATAAAAATTAGGTTAAATTAAGGACCACTGAAGAAAGGACTAAAAATTAATTAGAAACTAAATAATTTAATCCTAAAGAATTGGTGAGTCAAAGAACAAACTGTAGAAACAATAGGTAATTTTAAGCTCGTAACAATGAGACGATATATTAAAATTCTGGGGATGCAGTCAAAGCAGTCCTTAGGGGGAAATTTATATCTCTAAGCACTTTTATCAACCAAAGAGAAAGAACAGATCAAGGAATTGGATATTCAACTTAAAAAAAAAAAACTTAGAAAGTCAATAAATTGAATTACAAATGGAGGAGTTTGGTAGTAGATAAAGTGATTTTGAGACCCAGAGCTGTCCCTGGAATCCACCGATCATTTCATTCATGCTCCGTAGGCTCATCTTAATGAAGCAACCCTGATTATTATGTGTATTGACATCAATAATAATAACAACAGATCTTCATATGTCACTTTGAAGTTTACAAAGTTCCTTCTAGATATTATCTCATGCGAACCTCACAACAACCCCGAGAAGTAGGGGCTACTATTACCCCATTTTACAGATGTGGAAAACTGGTTCAGAGAGGTGAGAGATTAATACATCATCACAGAGCCCATTAAAGTCACAAAAAGGATTGGAGCTCAAGTCTTCATGATTCTGGGCCCAGCACTGTATTGCCACAACAGAATTTTTTTTTTTTCCCTATAATATTTTTGGGAAGAATCTCTCTCCTAGGATTTAGAACTGATTCTACTTTCCACTGGAATTTTCTCCTTCCACTGCGTTAATGAACACACACTAAACTTCTGTTTCATTAGTAGCTATGAGCCTCAGTTACCACATCTATAAAATGGGAGAAATGACACTTAAACTACCTGTCTTTGCAAACCTTGAGGTGCTACAGGAATTTCATGATTCACAGCTCAGAATGCCACTGTACCATGGATAAGGTATGGAACTTTAGCTTTGTGCTGAACTGGCTGAAGTCCTGTCTTGTTGCTTAATTTTAGGCTAATCCTGTGGGGCACGCTAAGCAATGAGAAGCAGTGGGATATCCTGTCCTTGGAGCTAAGGAGACTTGGGTTCAAGTCCTACCTCTGACATGGACTAGCCCCTTCCCCTCTCAGTGCCCCCCCAACTCTCTGAGACTATGGGCTGCAGAGGAGGCACCACCTGCATCGGTAGAGGGGATTTCCTCACCTGAGAGTGCCTTACGTCAGTGAAATCGCAGGTCCAGTCCCTATCCCGGACAATGAGCAATGCTCCCTAGAAGGCTCTTCTCATCAGAACCCTGCCATCAGGCCAACTTTCCATGGATCGATTGGCCTTCTACGGCATCAGGTTTCTAGCTGAGAGATTGTAAGAACATAACAGTGAAAGATGAAACAAGGGTAATAAGGCAGCTGGGGAGTGCAGTGCACTAAGCTCTTGGAGACAGGAAGATCCGAGTTCAAATCCAGTCTGACACAGTCTTACTGTGTGACCCTGGGCAAGTCATGTAACCTCTGCCTCAGTTTCCTCACCTGTGAAATAAGGATCATAATAATAGCTATCTCCCAGGGTTGTTGTGAGGATTAAGTGCTATTTTATATATACATACATTCATATACATATACATACATATATATATATATATATACACACACACATACATAAAGCACTTGGCACAGTGCCTGGCATATAGTAGACACTTAATAAATGCCTGTTAAATCAAAATCTAAGCTGGCTGAAGATTTCCAGGTGTCCATAATGGGGCATCAATGGGGAAACTGATGAAAATGAATTTTTGAAGTTTTTTCTTCTTCTTCTTTAATGTGTTTATATCTCAATGTTCCAGCCAGTGTCGTTTGTTCTTTCTAATGCTCTTTGAGCTTAGCTCTCCAGCTGTTCAGGCATCAGGGGAACAAGGAAAAATAAATCCATTTTTGAAATGCTGATGGATACCTTTGTGAGAAATAACTGAACATCTGGACCCACTTTCTATGGGAACACCTGCAGGAGCAGTCACAGTTTTCAACTGATCCCTGCAGCTAACATCCTGAGAGGGAGAGAGAGGAAATAACCTAGAGATTTAGACAATTAAAAGGCAAATAGGATGAAAAAATGTTGGCTAGCATCAATCTGGCTCAATGGCTCAGCTTGGAGACATTGGGAGATTTTTTTTGACAGAGAAGCCTAAGAATCCAAAAAATTTGGAGGCATACCTGCTAATGGAGAATGTAATGTGAGGGGAAAAAAAAAACTGTGGACCATGATATTCATGCCTTATTCTCGTCCATTTTTCTTCCCCAAATCACAAATCACTTTCGCTCCTTTTCCAACATCTCCATAAAGATGCAATATCAAAAACCAGCCAACACAGGACTGGATTTGTGCCAAAGACAAGTCTGTTTGCTAAAGAATGATTCTTTTAGCAGTAACGATTTTATTTCGTATTATCGTGCACAAATGTGGGTGTTCTGGCTTGTTAACTAAGGATTGCAAACAGATTGCACACGGAGAGACCCAGCTGGTGAGGCTTCTTCTATCTCACAGCCCGGAGTCAGACGCTGTGATTCAGCCACAGCAGAAGCCCAGAGCATCCCGAGAGACAGGGCAGAGACATCAGGCAATGAGAGGGTGAGGCGGGCAGCATCCCAAGAAACAAGAAGCCTCAGAAGTGCTTTAAAACTTGCAAAATCCTTTACCTCTACTACCTCACTGAGGAACAGCACCAATAGTTGCCACATATAACATGCCCTACATATATTAACCTAGTGGTCCAGGAGAGATGGAGTGATTAGCCAGGTGCACCACCAGTAAGGGTCAGAGTGGGCTTCCAACCCAAGCAGGTCTCGCCCAACTCCAGACGCCATCATCCTCCAGCATAAAGCACTGCCTCTCTGTACATGAAAGACAAGGTGTGTTTCTTTTGAACCACCAGGGGGTGCTGCTGGACACTTGCTTGATCCTGTTCTGCTATGAGGCTCAGACCTGGGCAGTCCAACAGTCAGTCAACAGTTATGTTCTTCCCTAGAAGAGAAATTACCAAGCTCTCTGATGATACTCAGAGAGCCGGCTACCTCTTCCCCTTAGCTTGGCTGCTTTGGCAGGTGGCCGGGCTCGTCTCATTATTCCAGGAGTGAGATCTCTGTGGGTTCATCCCACTGGTGTCTTGACTCAGCATGCGCCCACTGGGAAAATGGGTCTTCCCTGCATTTCGGTGGCAGGACTAACACTGCCTATTGGAGTGACTCACACCAGCATGGCTAAGGGTTTGGTTTCTTCTCACAAATAAAGAAAGAAGCAGGAAGGACAGAATCAAACCCAGAGCACGTCCCAAAAGTGTTAAGACAGTTCACTAAGGCCTTTGGGACACTCTGAGGGTGTAGAACACCTGTGAGGGTGACCTCTATTAAGGCAGCCCTGAACCAGTCTTGAGCAGGGATGGGGAACCTGCAGCCTCAAGCTTGGCCACATGAGGCCCTCCAGGTCCTCAAGTGCTGCCCTTTGACTGAATCCAAACTTTACAGAACAAATTCCCTTCATAAAAGGATTGTTCTGTAAAACTTAATCTCAGTCAAAAGGCCGCACCCAAGGACCCAGAAGGCCACATGTGGCCTCCAGGTCATAGGTTCCCCACCCCTAGTTAATCCTCTAGACACTAGAGAGGATCACGCCAAGGTGAAGAGTTTAAGAAAAACAAGACCTGGATTCTTGGCCTCCAGCCTCCCACTCTTACCCCTACAGGAAGGATAAAGCACGGGCCACTCCCTTAGAGGGCCTTGGCTGGCCCATCACTGTGGGTCCCCACCAGTGCCAACAATGCTGAGTCTTCACTCTCAGGCCTCTTCCACGCTAGAGAGTGCAGTAGTTGGAAGTCTCCATGGCGTGTGGAAGTCTGAGTCTTGTCCTCATGAAGAGGAATTGTATATAGTGACCGGGCACCATTACTCATATTCCCTTCTCTCTCACTCATATATGACTTGGGCCAATCTCTCTTCCCTTGCTCTTTGGCTCTTTTCCTTTTATAAGCTACACAGGTAGGGCCCCTTTGGGAATTTTATGAGTAGGACCAACTCAGGACCCAGGACTTATCCCCTCCTCTGCCTCTACCTTCCGGGGCACCAGAACGAGGAGGGAATCACGTCTTCATTTCTGAAGGTCAATTCCTGACATCATCGCTCTGCTTTTGCATTATGTAGCATGAGGACGCGGTATTCACTAGATGTTTTAAAATTTGCTTCCTCAGAATAGACAGCAGCAGCTGAGCTGCTTTCAGGGGACCAAGGAGACAAAACAGGAAGATGTCACATGCCGCCTCCACATGCCACCCCAAAGCCGCGGGGGTGGCTTGCCCAGCCTCGATCCTCAATCCCGGGGCTGAAACTTCTCTCCACTAAACTAACACATCTGTGCTTGCTTCCTTCTTCTCAGGCAACCTTGGCCATATGGACTCATCTCTGCAGCCCATGTGGGACTTGGCCATGGTCGGCAGCTCTTACGTGATGTGGGAGAAGACGTCGCAGTCATTATACTATTATATGATGCAGCTCAGTGGGGTAAAGCAATGGGTAAGCAATACAGAAAAAGCATCTGCATTAAAGGGGTCCCTCCTACTGCCCCGATGAAGGAAGGAGCCGTACCCAGAAAACACACTGGCCCCCCAGGCGGCCCTTGGACTGACTGGCTGAGTTAGGGGGTTTCCAGAATCTAGATAAGGACTTCAGACAGCATGACCAAGATTATAGTTTCCTCTCAGGAGAATAAAAACACAGGCCACAGCCTACTAGGTTAGAGATAAACTCATTTTTCAACTGTGGCCACTATTGTTTGAAAATCATTTCTATCTCTTCTGAGGACACATGCTTGTTATCAGCTAATGCTGATGCCACGAGGCTAGAGAGGGCCCTTTGTCCACAGCTCCAGTACAAGGAGTGAGAATTCCCTTCCTGTACCTCAGACTCTTCCTAGCTGGGTGACCCTGAAAGCCACTGACCCTCTCTAGGACTCAGTTTCCTCATCTGTAAAATGGAGGATTTGGGCTAGATGATCTCTATGGTATGATCCTATTCTCCTACGACAGATGGATGGCCCACAAACTCCATCAGAGTCTAGGAAGGGTAAAAATCTGTCCATCCATCAGAGCCTCCAGCAGGTTGGGTAGATTCTGTTTGGAAGAACATAGATCAGATGACAAGGCCCCGATGAGCTGCAATCTGCTCTAGTGGAGGGAGTCTTCACATTCATGAAGTCATGGATCTGTTACTTAACTCATTCATCCATGACATTCAGTTGAGCTCAATTCAATCAATGTTTATTAAGCACACACTGTGTGAGCTGAGGGATTAGTCTTCATCTCTGTTCACTCTTCCTAAATCGTACTAGGCTAGAAATGTTGTAAAATGGCGCCCAACTGAATCATCCTGAGGCTTCACAGCTTAGCATCAAGCAAGATACAGTTGAAAGAGCCCTAGCTCTGGGTTCAAGTTCTGCTTCTGACAGTACAGACTGAGGGACCTCGAACAAGTCAAGATCCAACTCTGGGCCTCAGTTTCCTTCTCTGCAAAATGTAGTGGGGAGGACTAGCAAGAGTTGGGATCCTGCGGCCCTCGGCGCCTTCACTGTACCAGTGATTAGGGCATCATCAACATGGCGACTGGTTGGCATGAAAAGTTCAAGCCAATACCTAGGGGCAAAATACCTACAGATCATGTGGGAAACAATCCACCCAATTTAGAATTGTCGTGTGTGATCACAAACAACTGTTGGCACCTCATGATAATGACGTCAGGACATAAATAAGTCCTAGCAGGGCCCAGCAGGAGACTTTGATATTTGGGACCTGGGTTTTCATCTATGTGGTACTCCCTCCACTGGTGCAGATTGCACCCCATCTCCATTTTCTTACCCCATATGATTCTTGACCATACTTTGCAATGAATTCTCCACAGAGAATCGACTCCTTGTCCTTCCTCTGGTTCTCCGACTGTTGGCTCATTCTGGATATCCATCGATTACCCCCTGCGCTTGCTATACTATTGTCCCACTCCTTTTCTGGGCCACTTGAAAATTAGAAATAGGGACTGAGAACTCAGACCAAAGATGTCACCTGAGACAGGAAACGGTGGCTTGTACCCCTAGTAAAAGTAAAGAAATAAACAAACTCTTGGGGGCTGAACCTGTGATTTCATCGGGACAGAGAACTCAATTCAATCCAACAAGCATTTGCTTATTTCCGTCCAGAGAATCAAAGCAGATCCCTACCTTCTGGGCTACTCCAATACTCCAATAGTCCATAAATATTTATTAAGCATCTGCCGTGCAGGCCAGGCATGGTGGACAGCTTAGTCTTAGAATACGGCCCGGGGCACCAAGAGGTTAAGTGACTATCCCAAGCTGAGGGCTGTAATGCCCACCTATCTGAGCCCCTGATTTTAAAGCGCTTGTAATTAGAGATCATGGGGAGAGTCCAATTTGGTGAAAGCCTTGAGCTCCCTTCTAAAAAGTCATTTACAGTAAGATGTTCAGACTGTCTGACCTCGTGACCACTGTGGGGGTTCTATGACCCTTCACCCAACACACGAGGCCCAAAGCATTTGGCTCAAGCAGACAGTGCCCAGGGCAGCCGCGGCCAGAGAGAAAGAGCTGATGCAGATCTGAGCAGCCAGAGGTGGCCTGCGCATGTCCTTTCACAAGATAACTGTGGGTCAGAACTGGCTCCATCCCAACCAGCTGGGTGGGGGCCGTGACCCCTCCTCCTGGTTCCCGATGGCTTTTTGATGCAATAGTGCTAGGAATCACAGGCCCATCAACTCAGAAACAAATGGCGCCCGAGATACATCAATAACACCGGGGAAGGAGGATTTAAATAAAAACATAGGCTACAGATGAGCAAATGGTGCTTCTTCAGGCTCCGTGCCAGCCATATCACTCTCAGCCCACTGGGGACTTGGGGAACAGCTGGGGAAATTCTGAGGACAGAAAAGAATTAAGGTATTCTTTGCAATAGTCTGAGCCCCTGTCCTAGAGCCCTAGGCCTCTTATTCAAGTCGAAATCCCTCCCCCAACACACACACACACACACACACACACACACTCACACACTCACATTCACACATACACTCACACACACACTCGCACTTCTTTGAGCACTCTTTTCCAACTTGACAGTGCATATGAAGAGTCACCAAGAGAACCCTGATCCATAATGGAGGAAGCCCACTGAAAGTTTGAACAAATGTACCCCAGTGCCCTCAGAGAGGGGAGATGAGGACCACAGTAGCTGCAGACAGAACACAGAAGGCACATAACGATCATTCCACCCTGGAAGTTTTCCTTGGGAATCTAGATTTGCCCCACCTCTGACATCAAAACCAGACCAGCCCTGCCGTGGCTCACCATCTCATTATAAAAAGTAAAAGACAAAATGAGGGGAAACAAAAGCCAAAGGAATGAGCCCTAGCTCTGAAGTCCAAAGTCCTGGGTTCAAATCTCATCTACCTGTGTGGCTTTGGGCAAATCTCCTCATCCATAAAATGAGGGACTTGGAATAAGGCGTCTTTGAGGTTCCTTATAACTCTAGCCCTGTGATCCAGTCTTTTATCAGGTGGAACAGATTCATCAAGGTAATCAAAATTGCATCATTACAGTGAAATCTCATCTACTCAGCCACTTCAGACTCTGTGATAATTCACTCAAAGCCTCAACCCCATTACATCTGGGACTGATAAACAAGAGGATATTCTCCTCTCACATCTGCCCTTCCCTACTGAGTCAGTTCTAATCAAGGGGTGAGAGTGAGGGAGAAAGATGGTTAGATAAGCGGTATTCCCCCCAAGCCCCAGGACCCTACCAGTAAGGACTTCTCCATGGAAATCAGCCGAGAAGCCTTCACTGAGGAAGGCAGTAGCCGTAAGAACAAGAGCTTCAAAACTCAGAGAAAGCTGGAAATTGCCACGCCTTAAAAAATGGGGAACTGCCTTGATTTATCTGATGTGTCTTCAGTAACATATTTCATGCGGGGGGCCAGATTCCCACCATTGACTTCAACACGAGCGCTGTCTCCGTTCAGCCTAAAATCAGCCTCCATGGTTTCCTCCAGGGCTATTCAGCCACTCTGAAGGACAGAGTTAGGAGAAACTGTTCTGGGAACACCATCCAAGATTTAAAAATAAAACAGATTTTTTAATTGCTGAAGATGACATACAGCAGTCAGGTCTTGAGAAGTATAGCAAAGGAAGAGAGCAAGCTAATGAGATGAGTTGGACAAACAGAAGCGTGGGACCTGGACAGAGCAGTTTCCTCTCAGACCCAGACAGAACAAAGTGAATCTTGTCACCCCAGAAGGATCAGAGCCAAACAGGGACTGGAAATCAGAAAAGCATTTCCTGAAGTACAGGGAGGGGGATTTTCTCTTCTGAGTTCTCTAGCCCTCTCCAGGGCCAGTGTTTCCGCCAGCATTTTACTGGCCAGCTGGTTCTACAGCAGAGTTGCTGGCTGACTCCATCTAAACAAATCACTCGGAGGGTGAGCTACCAAGAGCGGAAAGAAGCTACCAACAAGGCGTGGCCAATTCTAGATTGTAGATTATCCAGATTCTATCCTTATCCCCCACGCTGGGCACCTCATGATTTAGGGTCATGGATTTAGAGCTGGAAAAGACCATAGAGATCATGTAGCCCAACCCCCTCATTTTACAGATGAGGAAACTGAGGCCCAAAGCAGTTCAGCAACTTGACCCAAGGTCACACATGGAGTAAGAAGAGCTGGAATTCAGGATTTTTTCTGCTACATTATGGTGCCTCCTGAAAGGAGGGACCTGAGCAGCCATCTGTACCTGGAAAAGAAACCTCCACACACGACATCCAACATGAACCCCTTGCCTTGGGAGCCCGTGGGCTCCTCCTCCTCCTCCTCTTTCTCTGGAGGCCATTAAGCAGAAGCTGGATGACCATTTCTTGGGTACTTTAGTTGGGGGAATTTTTTTTTATATGGGTTGGACTGGATGGCTGAGGGCGTACCTTTCTAACCCTCAAATTTTGTGTTTCTATGACATCCAAGAAGGGGGAACCCATGACTTCCCAAGGCAGTACATTCTACTTTTGGATAATGTCGTATAATAATTATTAGGAAGTTGTTTTTTTTAGCTAGGCATCTAGGTAGAGCAGTGGATAAATTGCTGGACCTGGAGTCAGGAAGATGAGTTCAAATCTTTCAGACCATGAGTAGCTGTGTGACCCTAGGCAAGTTATTTAACCTCTCTCTGCCTCAGTTTCTTCATCTATAAAATGAAGATATTAATAGCACCTACCTCCCAGGGTTGCTTTTTTTTTTTTCCTTTTTGGTGAGGCAATCAGGGTTAAGTGACTTGCCCAGGGTCACACAGTTAGTAAGTGTCAAGTGTCTGAGCCTGGATTTGTACTCAGGTCCTCCTGACTCCAAGGCCAGAACTCTATCCACTATGCCACCTAGCTGCCCTCCAGGGTTGCTTTGAGGGTAAAATGAGATAATATTTGCAGAGTGTTTTACAAATCTTAAAGCATCATTATTTTAATTATTATTAATTTGCTTCTTCATATCCATCCTTCTGAGTTTTGTCCTTTGGAGCCAGAGGAAGTCTAACCCCTCTTGCACCAGGAGACAACTTTTCACATACCTAAAATCAGTTACCATAATCCCATTATATCACCACCCAACTCTGAGACTTAGGAACTATTAACACCTACAACATGTTTTATAAGGTCATGTTACAAGCTGGTGACAAAGCAGAAACCTTCCTCTTCCATCATTCGAGAACATCATCCCCAAGGAAATGAGGCAAGAAAAATATCTAGGAAAGAAAAGGAATGCTGAGTTAACGTCAGGCAACAAGCATCTATTAAGCACCTAGTATGTGCCTGACACTGGGCTGAGAGCTGAGAATAATAAGGAAGGTAAAAACCATCTTCGCCCTCATGGAGCTCAGTCTCATAGAGAAGACATCATGAGAACAACTATGTACATACAAGATATAAACAGTATAAATTGGAGTTAATTATCAGTTAAATTGAATTGAATAACAACTCATTATAACGCTTATGTAGCCCAGGAGTTAGAACAGTGCCTGGCACATCACAGGCATTAAATAAATACTTGTTGACTTGTTTTGACCTGACTAGACCTGGTACCAATTCAAACTATTCCTCACATTCATTCTTCTTTCCTTTTGCCAGATAACAAGAGGTGATTTTATCAATTTCAACTACACCGTCCTACTCCATGAATTTTCAACCCAGGTGAGAGATCCTACATGCCCTTAATAAATAAACAGGGCACTCACTCTAGGTCGCTGTACATGCAGTAATGCTACTTCTCATCCTATCTTCTCTAGGAGATCATTCCCTGCCAGATTCATCTGCTCTGGTATCCTGGCAAACCCCTTAAAATACGGTATCACTGTCAAGATCCTGGGACACAAGAGGAAGGTTCTGGGAATGGCGAAGGCTCAGCAGAGAACCCTACAGAGATCCTTAGTAACTTCTGAAAGATGGAATGCCTACTTACTACACTTACACCAAATTAAAATGACCATACTCAAAAGCTTCAGCTGCCATCTGGTACCATAACTGAGTAGAATCAACTCCAGGGATTCTGGAGATGTAGGCGACGGAGTGATTAATAGTCAATGTTCAGAAAACCCACAGTATTTTTTTTCTTAAATTAACTTCTGGGAACACATGCCTGATTCCAGTAACTCACGAGTGTACTTAAGTCCACTCAGAGCTACTCTGGGGCCACCTGAATGTCAGGACTGGTTAAACCCAAAAACACTCCGCATAAAGCTGGTAAGAATTAACAGCTAACAGAGTAGATGCTTCAGGCCGAATTTCCTATTCTCAAAAGCTTGTACCTAACATTACTTCAAAAACTATAGCTGATTATTTTATACCACCCAAATCTGAGAGTGTCCATGCTAGTAGGGAAATAAAGATAATCTATTTCAATAAAAGCAAACTGAAAGGGAACTATCAAGCTGGGTTAGAACAAAGTTTGAGATTTTTAAGGTTCCCAGAAGAATGATCTCTTCTTTAGCCTGAGAATCGACGGTGAAATAAATATGGTTACATTTCTAAATAAGACAATTGGCTTTGTCATCATTTGGCTTGACTGGCAAGGTTTGCTTAGCGTGGAGAGTGAAGTTAAAGCTGAGAGCGTGAAGTATAGATTGGCAAACAAATTCTAAGGGAAGATCTTCGGGCAGGATATTTAGGGCTGCTGGAGACTAAAGAGGCTACCCAGTCCACCTTTCTCACCTAACCGATGAGGAAACTGAGGCCCAGGAAAGGTAAATACCTTGCCCAGGCTCACAAGCATCTGAGATGGGATCTGAACCCATGATTTCAGGATTCTAAAGTCAATCATCCTTCCATTATATCCAGCTTCCTTCTGTTTTTCACTTACGGAAAGACCTTTGCACCCTGGATTTGTGCCCTTAGCCTGAGTAATTTAATAGCAAGCAGTACAGCACATAATGGAAGCTATAATTGAATTTAATGGAGTGCCTCCTTGGGGCAGGACCAAAATGACTGTGGGGAGGGGGAAAAAAAAGAGGGATGGAAAATAATGTTCCCGTTATCTGATGGTACCCAGAACTGGCATGTCATGGAAGGTCAGTATCAATGTCAGAAAAGTATTGAGCAAGTTACTTAGGCCAATAATGAGGAAGCAGCAGCCTTAAAAGCAGTTGACAAAAATACTGAACATTTCCCCATTTGCACTGAATATTAAAATACACGGCACAACTTTTATGCCTAACTGGAAAGTTCTCCAGGCTTGGACCCAGTTCTGGGTCAAAGGATGACTGCCAAAGTTAGTTAGTCCAACATTCTCATTCTACAGATGAGGAAACTGAAGCCCCAGAGGGTAAGTGACTTGCCTAAGGTCATACAGACAGTAAGAGGCAGAGCTGGGAATCGAGCTCATGTCAGAGGGCCACGGATCCTAGAAGCCATCTGGTTCCACCTTCTGACTTTACAAACAAGGAGAAGTGACTGCCCAAAGTCACACGAGAAGGGAACAGAGGTAAAATCTTCCACTCCAACACCAGTGTTCTTTCCACTATACCATGATGTCATATGACCATCAGTAACACTATGAACTACCCAGGTTTCTACTGCATCTCACACATTGGCATCCATTTGCCCAGCACCCCTCTCTCCAGGGATGGAGGCCAATGAAAATGTAGGCTGGGAGACCGAACATCTGGTTCAAGGAACAACAGAGGCCAGTGTTACTGGACCACAGAGTATTTGAGGGTGGGGGTACGGTGCAAGAAGAATGGAAAGGTAGGAACAGACCGGGTTATAAAGGACTTTGAATGCCAAATGGAGAATTTTGAATGTGATCCTGTAGGTGCTAGGGGCCCACTGGAGTTTACTGAGTAAGTGGGAGTCATGGTCAGACCTGGGGATGGACTGGAGTGGAGAAATATTTGAGGCAATGAGAACAACCAGAAAGTTAACCACCATAGTCCAGATGTGTGGTGATGAGATTTGGACCCAGGTCTTCCTAAGTCTACAATCAAGCATCTAACCATGATTTCACACTTCCTCTCTAGATCAGCTTCCATAGATTAAACACCCCCTTGAAATACAGTAAAATGAATGGCACATGTTCAAGCCTGCTCCCCAAAACAATGCATTATAGTAATCCAATGGGTGTGACACTTTCAGAAAAAGACTTAAAATTTTCAAGAGCTTAGCTCTTCTGAATAAGCACTCAGCCTCCCATGACCACGCACAGAAGAAGGGACTTTTGGTCTCTGATGCTAAAGCCAAGGGTCTTTGTGCAGTCTTAGTCCTGAGCCAAGAAATGCAAAAAATGCTTAGCTGGGTTATAAATCTACAGGTAAATGAGTCCTCCCCACTACTGACGGGGTATGGACCTAAGCCGAGACCACTGCCCCTTGCCCCCAAAAGAATGTGGGTCCCATTTGTCTAAAGGATTCTCCTTGAACTCTCCCACTTGATCAAGGAGGTCTCTGGAGTTCCCCTGAGGCTACAGTCCCATCAGCTGGCCTTTTGTTATTGCCTATGCCCAATCTCCCAATTCTGTTACCCTTAACCTAGCCTAGCTCTCCCCTGTCTTACGTTCCTATGGCCCTCAGCCACTTCCCACCCTAGACCCTATCTGGACCCCATTCTCAACCTCCCAGTCACTCCCATCAAGATCCTTCCTAGATCCCTCCCACAGTCTTTCTGTATATAAGGTCCATTTTGTCTCCACTAAGGTGCTCAGATTCCTTAAGAACCTAGCCAATGGCTTACAAATGTTAGAAATAAGGCCTTAGAGACTCTCACAGTGAAGCTTAAGCCCTGGCAAGCTGCCTCAGCCAATTGTCCCTCGTGGTAAGACTGAGAAATCAAGCCTTCTAGTTAAAAACAAAACTAAGCTCAAAATGAGTGAAGAATTGTTTATTATGGTTCTTGGGAGAACTGGGCACAGCTCTGGGAAAAGAGTGTGCCGAATACAGAAGCGAGAGACAGCTTTATGCTGTTAGAATGCCTCGACTCCTCCCTTCCAGGCCCGGATTGGTCCGTTCCTTTCCAGGTTACAATCTTCCTGGTCCGCCCATCCCATGTTTCCCCTTGTCCCTCCTCTGATCAGTTAATGAGGCTCTAATTCTATTCGGGGTGTGTAGCCCGTGCCCTTTGTCCTACTTAGGGCTGGTTAAAACCGGTTCTGCCCTCTAGAATTTTGGGGTTTATTAAAAGATTAGGGCCCTTCTCACTGGCTTGCCCTTTCCCCTGTTTTCGCAAGGTTTTACAAGCTTGTTAAAACAATGCAACTTGTTATTACCAACTTGTTTGCTGATGTTGTTAAGATTATCTTAAATTGTGGGAGCATGATACCTTGTCCCTTACACAAATGTTCAGATTCCTTATGAGTCTGACCAATATGGTGGATCATTAATAAATTTTGTCTTTTGCTGAAAGAACGTTTGGGTCGAATTCATTTTGGCAGAACCCACGTGTTTTGATTTTGGGGTCCCATTACCCTAAACCTCTAGATCTCATCAACTACTTTGTGGGATTCTAAGACCTGAGGTCTGCAAACACAGTGAGTTAATCGAGAAAGGAAATCTGCTCCAAAAAAGGCTATAAGGGAAGAATATACAAGGAGACACCAAGTATCTTGGCATTTTATTTTAAAATTAATACAAAATTCATAGAAGGGAAAGAAAAGGGTACCAATTTAGCATGAAACAGTTTTCTCAAAAATCTCCCCTTTGGAAATGGAAACTAAAATGACCTATCATCTTATTTAACTGAATACTTTATTATTCATGTTCTTTTAGGATACCTCATCCCAAATAACTGGAATCATGTCATTTTTATGCTCTGCATACAAAAATTAGATAGAAAATAAAGACTGGATAGATGTCAATTATTTAGAATAATAGTTAAATAGCTTCCCTTTTCCAATTTCATTTCCAATTTCCAATTTCATTTATCTAGCTGGTTATACTAATAAGTAAGGTTTTTCCTCTGAGAATCAGACTTAAAGCAGGAAAAGATCTCAGAAGTTGCATACAACCTTTTCATTTTATAAATGGGAAAACTGAGGCCCAAGTTCACATAGGAAGTAAGTAGCAAGAGTTGGGATTTGAACTCAAGTCCATTGCTCCCTCTGCTTTACTGGGCTATTCATTACCTTTCATGTTCAACAGATTCAAAGAACACCATCTATCTGGTTGAATGAGAGAATTAATCTATTTAATGGGATATTCAGGAGAAAAAGAAAAACTTGCAGATCTAGAAAGAGAACAATATGAAATATAAGAAAGGAGTCTACAACATTAAGCCTGTAATTCTTTTAGTAGCTTTGTACCAGGTTCTTTCCTTGGGGCTAACAGGACTCCTGAAAGCATAAAAATTTAAACCATTGTGACCAATGAAAAGTCTAGGAGACATAATTTCTGGGTAATTAATAATCAATTCATTAATTATGGCTAGCAAATAACCAATAAAATGAGGTCAGTGGCCAAACACTAACCTGAGTGGGTGTTCCCAACAGGTGGCAATCAACTCTGATTGGTTAACAATTAATGACAGAATATTACGAGAGGTAGGCTTATTCTAATGAGGGACTGGGGCACTATTTTGTCACTCTTTGGACAAAGAGACTCATCTCCACCCAGACCACCCCTACCTCAGGGCAAGTTACCTGAGTAAAACAATGGTGGAGTTACCTTAAGAATTCCACCTAGACAAGATGGTCTTTACCCTTTAATCAGAACTAAGCTTTCCCAGTTGGGTGGGGTCCTGCCCAACTTTGATTGAACCCAATCTCATCATCAGCCCTGTCCTTCAGAGACTGCTTTGACCTACAGTAGCTGGTTTCTGAATGAGGAAATAGAAAGGGAAAGAAACCCTGATCACCCCATATTTATCATTATTTCTCTCCCATTCTCTCACCAACTCTCACCAAGTTACTAGTGTATTGCATAGAACAGGAAACTTTTTTTTTTAGTGAGGCAATTGGGGTTAAGTGACTTGCCCAGAGTCATACAGCTAGGAAGTAATATGTGTCTGAGGCTGGATTTGAACTCAGGTCCTCCTGACTCCAAGGCCGGTGCTCTATCCACTGCACCACCTAGCTGCCCCTGAAACTTTTTGTATGTTTGCAAGATTTTATTAGAAAACTTAAAAGAACATGTGATAAGTCAAACCCTCCTGCCCCTAAACAATAAACCCTCCCCAGCAAATAGCATCCACTCTTTTCCTTGAAATTTACAGAAAAAGGCAGGAGTTCCTGAGTGCTTGCCATTGCCTAAATTCTTCCTAGCGGAATTGTGTCCAAAAATAGGGTCCTCTGATTACTTGTGAAATTATTTTTATGCAAAAAATTGAGACCTTCCTTTTATTTAGGTGAGAGAACTTCTGGCCCATATTAGGATGCTACTGAACTTTGGGCTAAGGATTTAACCTACAGAGAACTAAAGACATCTATAGAACCTAAGGGGAAATGGAGTTCATGGCTATTTTCAAAGGTTGAGTTATTTAAATACTTAGTGTGATGCAAAAGACCTAATGCCAAGCTAAGGTCCAATGGCCCACACACTGCCACAAGAGTGGGA